CCATCTGTTTTCTCTCCTCAGATACTGAAGGAACTTTAAGTATTTTAAGCAGATATATTTAAAAAGCATTCTTTTCAAAGTCTCAGCATTATACAGATCACTAACAAAACGTGTAGGAAATTTTATTGGCTTGGGAATGCAAAATATCTTCTTACCCAAATTCATCAGTACTCTTTTTCAAAGGGAAGAACCTGATCTTTCTGTTTCTCCCCTAAAGTGACCAAAGGAGATTCAGGGTTCATTTTGGCCACCATGCCATCCAAATGTGGTCAGAGAGACCGTATTATAAACAGTGATGTTATTCCTGGCAATCCGTGAGAATATGGCATTGTCAAAGTGGAACAGAATCTTTTTGCACTCTGATGTGCTGGGTAGTTATAGATTAACAATGATGATGATAATAATAATGTCTCTACCCTTTGAAGTAAACTGGATAAATTGGAACAAATACAGGAGAGGAATACTGGTAAGGTGGTCCTAGGATAGAAGGAGGATGCTTTACAGGTTGGAAATGTGAAGCCCAAAAGTGACTTCAAATCCATGTTCAAGATTATAAATGATTTATCATAAATTACATAGAATACAACTTAAACTTCATAAAGGAAATGAACAAGGGGCTTAAGTTGTAGTTCTATTATATATAATCATGTTAGTAAAAACAAGACTGATGCAGTAAAGTCTAATGTCTGCAGTTAACCATGTAGTGGCAAACTCCAGATCTCTGACTTACAAGGCTGTAACAAGCATTTCTGCTCACCTGGTAGAAAGATGCTCTCACTATAGACAGACAAAAGTCCCAAAGCCAGCACCAGTCAGCCTCTTGAAGACTTGACTTGTTAACATAAATGTAAAGAGGGACAAGAACAGTATGTACTTATCACAAACTCCTTGAACACATGGGTGGAATGTCACTTACATAATCTGGCAGGTTGCAGTTATGCTGTGGGAAATAAAAGCCTGCTTTCTTAACCCCACAGAAGCCTCTATGTTTTTTTTGTTGCTTTTTTAAAAGTCTTTCTATTTTATATTGGAAACAGTGCTCACAGCATGAGTAATGTCCATAACTTATCAGTAATTTAGCAGATTGTGCCAGTGTTGACATTTGTTCTTGGCTTCATTGTGTGTGAGTGTGTGTTTTAAACAATAATACAGCTGTCCCCATTCCTGGCAATTATAATATAAAAATGGTGTTCACTGAATCTGGCATCATGATCACTTATCCATGTGTTTACTCTTTTGTTGCAAGGCCTTCTGAGTGTTTGCTGCAGTTCTATAATCAGAATATAAAATTGGCTTAAAGTGGAAACTGGCTCCATACTGATAGCAAGAAAAGGGACTTCAGATCCCACATTTTACAGCCTTAGGTCTCTGACTCCACTATAGAGGCTTGTAAAGCATGTGTGTGTGTGTGTGTGTGTAAGATACTCTGACTTGATCTGAAGAAGTGAGATTTAAAACACCATGAGGATAGAAGAGTCACCTCAGCAGAGACACACTGGACTATTGCTAGTCATCTGCAGAGTATCAGGTGATCAAAATAGATCCCCTACAGAGTATTGCTGCAATGTTCTGACTGTTCCTATCATTAGTATCAACTTTATTCCCTGCTAATTTGTGCAGGTGATCTGCCAGTTGAGAGAGAAAGTGCCTCTCCTATGCAGAGTAAGTATCTTTGGGGCTGTTACTGTCCCTCAAATATTTGGGCTTTGGCTTGGTGGGCTTTTTGCTATTAGGTTAGCCAGTTAATTACAGTCTCACCTGGATTCTTATTAGTCTCGGCAAGTCTGAATATCCCTTTGGAAATCTGTTTGGTAGTAGTCGCTAAGCTGAGCATATGTTTGCTGTCTGATCCAGCAATTTCACTTCCAAGTGCAGATGCCCAGTAGATAGGCATGCATGTGTTCGCCAAAACACACGCACTGGGAGATCCATGGAGGCAGGTACCTAGATTAACAGTAGGATAGATAAATATGTTGTGCTATAGCCATACAAGGTCATACTATACAGCACTAAGATAAAAAAATATTGATGTGAAACAAATGACCACAGATTTAGCAGCCTAAACATCATACACTTATAAGCTGCCAGTTGTATGGGTCTTAAATCTGGGGGCAGTGGACCTGGCATCTCTGCTGAGGGATCCCAAAGACTGAAATCAAGGTATGGGCAGCTGGTGCTCAGTACCCTCCTAGAAGCTCACTCAGGTTGTCCGTGAAATGCAGGATCTTTTTGTGATTGGAGGATTGAGATTCCCCATTTCCTTGCTTGCTGTTAGCCATAGGCCCATCTTTCAGCTTTGGGAGGCCATTTGGATCCTTTGCCAAGTGGTCTCTATCTTTTCTTAAAAATAAATTTTATCTGGGCCGGGGATTTAGCTCAGTGGTTTCAACGTCTGCTATGCAAGTGCAAGGATCTGAGTTCAATCCTCAGTACCAAAAAAAAAAAATTTTATCTTATTTTATCCTATCCCCCCCAAACCTCCTCCCCTTCCTATGTACAAAAGCTGTTTGCATTTTTTTCTTGTTTTCACTTTTTTCTTGTCCCTTCCTTCCTCCCTTCCCCTTCCCTTGTTCTCCTTCACATTTGAACACTTTCTTACTATTTCCCAATATCCATTATACATTTCAGTCCTTATTTAAATGGTCTCTATCCTAAAAGCCAACAATGAAGAGCTTTCTCATACTCATTCTTCTCATGCTTCATCTCTCTTCTCCTGGGAAGATCCCACTCCTCTTTAAGGGATCATGTAATCAAGATGTGGAGACAATCTTCTGATTTGAATGGCAACTGATTTATGCATAATGACACCTGCAAAAGCCCTGCAGAGTAGCATCTAGATTACTGTTCAGTTGATGTACTGGGTGAAGGCTTGGGTACAAGTAGGGTTGAAGAATTTAGGGAGTCATCTTAGAAGTCTGTCCACAGCACATGAAGACATGGATGAATCTCACAATCAACATTCAGCCAAAGAAGCCAGACATAAAAGAATATGTAATGTATGATTCCATTTATAGAAAATACAAGAACAGGAAGTACAGTGGTCTTTGGCAGTAGAAGTCAGAACAGTGGTTACTCCTAAGTATGTAGTAATCAGAAAGGAGCATGAGAGGAGGGTCCTGGGGTCTAAGAGTATTTTTCTTCTTTTCTTTTGCAGTAGTGGAGATTGAACCCAGGACCTTGTGCATGCTAAGCTAGAACTCTACCACTAAGCTATATCCTTAGACATTTTATAATATTTTACTTTGAGACAAGGTCTTGCTAAATTTTCCAGGCTGGCCTCAAACTTCTAATCCTTCTGCCTCAGCTTCTTTTGCCACCACACCAGCTTCTTTTTCTTTTTCCAGTACCAGGGATTGAACTCAGGACCTTGTGCTTGCCAGGCAGGCGCAGTGCCACTGAGCTACAACCCCAGCTTGTTTGTGTTTCTTGATCTGTATGCTGGTCACATGGGTGTGCTCAGCTTATGAAAATTCAACCAGCTGTACATTTATGGTTATGTACATTTTTGTAAATGTATTATACTGCAATTAAAAAGTTTTTAGGATAAATTAGATTTATTACTTTAAAACAGATTTGTTTTGCCAAGGAAGCATGCATCCAAAGAAAGCTCTCAGAGTGGGAGCCTTTGGGGCGGGGGGATGAGCAGGAATAGAAAGGAAACAAGCATGTCTTGCCTGGAGTGAAGACAACAGAACCTTATGAAGTCTACATTTGAGTGCCAACTACTGGAAGTAAAAATTAGCCTTCTGTCAACTTGAGACTTGTGTGGAGGCTTCATAATTTGGGTGGCCCAGTGCAAAGTGACATGCAGGGCCCCTGTCCCAAAGTTTGAAGACAGCGAGAAGACAGCATTAAGCTAGTGATGGGTGAAGGTGGAGCACAATTGAGCAGGCATTCCCTTGAGCAGGAATGTCCTCCCCACTTTGGACAACTAGTGCTTTGGTCCATACAAATGTCATGTGGTTTAGCCAGAGGCTGGAAGGTGAAACTTCATTAATATATATGAAGGCAAGTGCTTTTTGATGTGTAAGACACCAAATGAATGCAAGAATTATTATAATGATGGGCCCTCCAAATGTTTGTCATTCCTTTAATTAGCTAAAAATCCTACCTATCACCTCCTGGATAAGCAAACAAACTCTTCATAAATAGTGCAAGGTGCACTTCTGCCTTGTGAATTAACACAAATTTCAAATTATTGGTAGAACCCTAATCTTGACAATTTACCAGTACATTCCTTGGGTTTTCCACTTCAAAGAAACAACAGGGTTGAAATTATTGGAGTCTGGGTACTTCCCACCAAACTTCTTTCTCTTGCTGAGATTTGCATTTTGGTCAAGTTCCCAATGGAATTCCTGGCCTGCCTCTAGGAACCTACCCTCGAATCCGCAGGGTCCTGGGGCGAGGACTCCTAGAATCATCCATCTGGGGCTGCGTCGGGTAGGTAACTCCCTGGAGTCCGCTAGAAGATTGCGGTGTCAGGCCGGCAGGGGTGTCACCCAGGGTGTGGAGCAGGGGTGGGGGTTGTGTGGCATTTTTAGGGGTTGACGAATTCCGCAGAGACAGGGCATTCACATTGCATTTCTGTGATTATTTTCCCTGGCATACACTCTGAAGTTCAGATCGCTTCCGGATGTAGTGGCTTACTAAATAAAGCTTTTGGGGACTGTGGTACCCGAAAGATTCATGACCTAGGATTTATGAGTAGTTCCAAGGATGAGACAAGGTTCTAGGGTCTCGGTGACAACTGGGTGTTGGACAAACGGCTGCTGCAAGCTTTACCGAGGATAGAGGATGGGGGAGAGAAGCGTTGATGGGGGCCTGAATTTCGGCCCGGCAGGAATTGGGCGCCGGGCACAGGCAGGCAGCCCCGCAGTCCATTAGCATGCAGGAGCCGCGCGCGTCGTCCTTGACGGGCTGCCCGGCTGACCTTGCTGGGCTTTCCCGAGAGAAATCTCTAGGAGCGCTTGAGGACGCGACCACGGCGCTGACTCAGTGCCCTGCATGCCACAGGCAAATGTTCCTGTCCAGCAAGCCCAGCTTCGCAGCCGCGGCTTCCCCTTCTTACCCTATATTCATTCGAAGATTCAAACCCTGCGTTTTCCGCTCCACCCTTCCCCCTCTCCACGGCCCGCCTGGGTCCTTAGTCCGACCGTCCCGGTGTTTTGTCCCCACCTCCCATCCTCAGAACTGAAGGCCAACATTCGCGCTCCTTCGCTGCGGGCTGGGGTTAGACGTGGCCCGCCCCAAGCAAGCACCAAGCTCTGGGCGTCCGCGATCGGGAGCCGGGATGGAGAGGGCGGCGCGCGGCGCGCTGTAGCGCACTGGTGGACCCGACCAGGCCAGCTCCCCATTGGCCGACACTCAGGGGGGAGGGGCCGCCCCGGGATCGGGGCACCTGCCTTCGCCCCTCCCGGGGAAATCGGTGGCTGCTCGGACCCGGCGCGTGGCGATAAAGACAGCGGCGGGAAGGCCTTGGGGCCGCGGGCGATTTCCTCGTGGCCGCTCTGGTCCAGTTGCCGCTGCGGCTCCGGAGACGTTCGAATGCCCTTTGCTCTGACTGCGCCAGCAGGAAACTTTGCCCTGCGAAGTCCTCCGGTCGCCTGACCGCGCAGTGACTCGCCTGGTCGGCCGCACGCCCCGCGGGGCCCAGGAACCCCGCTCGTGATTGCTGGGCGGTCCCTCACCCTGCGACCGCAGCGCTCTGCCGCCAGGATGCGCTACGCAGACCCTTCGGCCAACCGGGATCTGTTGGGGAACCGAACTTTGCTCTTTATTTTCATCTGCGCCTTTGCGTTGGTGACCTTGCTGCAACAGATCCTATACGGCAGAAACTACATTAAGAGGTAAGAGGTAAGAAAGTCCAGGAAGGGGTGGGATGCGCGGAGCCCATGGGCAAGTCCTGGTGGCCGCAGTTGGAGAGTCCCTGGGGACCAGTGTCCGTGGCATCAGCGCTTAGCCCAGGCACCCCGCCTCCGGCTTGGGTCCTGGCGCTGCGAGGGGCATCTCCGCTGTCGGTGGCAAGAGAGCGCCTGCTCATCTTTGGCTGGGGGCCCCGACAACTTTGTTCTGCTCTGAAAAATGGAGAGCACTTTGGAATTCTGAGCAGCCAAGCTGACAAATCTATTTAAATGCCCAAGCGGTGGCAGGGATCCGATCCGTGTTCCCCAAACCTGTAGTTCCTTGGCTATTTGGTTGGAACCTGAAGGCTGAAAATCGAGTCCGTTTTTTTGTTTGTTTTCAAACCTGGTGGATACTACCTTTTTGTGGGGGCCCTTGGAGGGGGAACTTTTATCTCCCCCAGAGCGTCGGGTTGGGTGGGGATGGTAGTGGGCTGTGAAGATGCATTGACATAGTGAATTCTTATAATCCTAGCCCCTGGGTCTGTGAACCTACAACCTGATCCCTTCTTAAGCAGATGGCTGTTTCTCATCTTTAAGGCCCAAGGTCAGAGCTGCACAAAAGTTGGATTCTTCCCCATCCCCTACCCCATCCACCGGCAAACTCTGAGAAAAGAAAGGGCAGTCGGAGGTGTCACTCAGAAGGTCCGAACCGGCCTCAGTCTCTCTGAAATGCAGTCTACACTGAAATGCCAGCCACCTCCTGCGGCTCTGCTGGCTTGGGGAAAACACTGCGGGTGACTCTGCTGGGCCAAGGGTCTCTAGGATGCCTGTATACCAGAGCCTTTGGTAGCTAGAGTGCCCCCCTCCCCCCGTCTGGCTTCTTTTTTGCTGTCTTGTCTCCCCACCTGAACTATATTCCCCCATCATCATAGGAAAGAAAATATCTCTCTGGCTCTGAAACCATCTCATTTTCTTCTCGAAACTTCCAAATAATAGAACGTTGTTCTTTATTCACTCTTTGAGGTCTGTTTCAGTTATATGTGCTCCCAATCTGGCCTGCCCTGGAGGATGGGAGGCCTCAGTGATGGTCTTGCTCCCAGTAGGAAAGCTAGCCAGTTGGGTTGTTTTGTAACTTCTTTGTAACCCTTCCTAGAGCTAGGGAAGGTGAGGCCTCTTGTCCCAAACATTTGTTTCTAGCCAGTCACTGCTCTTGACCTTTCCAGAGAGCCTTCTTTCCTGGTTGGTGGTAGCTCATGTTCTCTGTGAGGTGCGGGTGGCTTTAAGGAACATTTTCAGAGTCTCCTGGCTTGTTGGGTCTTACGGGACCCGCCTTCTTCTTTGGTTACTGCTGTCCTGGACATGATCCTGTGCAAGGACAGAGAGACCCAGAACCGGCCCAACTGCAGTTCTTCAGACCCATGGCCTGCTGCTGTCTTGTTGCTTTTCCCCCTGTGGAGTAGTTCTGGGGTCCTACCCCCTCCTTCTCCCTGGGGCTTCAGGGACTGCCTGGACCCCTGCCTGGCCAACAGGGGAGGTATCAGTACTAGGGCAAATGTCAACTGCACACTGCTTGCTGGCTCTCACAAGCTCTGCCTGGTTTTGGTGGAGGGGCTGGCTGCCTGGATCCCAGCAGGTGCACCAGCTGCTACCCATCCCTCCCTTGGACACCCTGACCCTCCAAATCACACTGATGCCACCTTAAGGCCTTATTTTAGAGACTCAGCTTAGTCTGACCAAGCAAGGACAATTTGTATGTGCCGATCCTGGAAAGAAGCCCTGGATCTGTAAAGAAGGAGAAGATGATGTGGTCCTAGCGCTCAGGGGGGTTGAAGTCTGGGAAAACAAAATGGACATAAAGGGGGAGAAGTAAGTGTAACATTGTCTGAGAAGAGAGGGATCCATGGGCTGGAGTGGTTAGGGAGGATTGTGTGGAGGAGGTGGAATTTGCGTGAAGGAAGGATGCCATTTAGATGGAGGAGAGGATGTGAACATCCACAACTGAAAGGAGTAGAAATAGAGGTGTAGAGATGCAGGTGTGAAACAATTCTGTCTCATCTCTCTTACACCTTCGCTGCTGCACATGGCTCAGTCACTGGTTAGTCCATCAGGAAGGCTGCTGCCATCTTGAATCCTGTTGTAGCTCCCACATCAGTTGCATCCAATTTTTTGCTTACTATCTTGTTTCCTGTGCATATCTTAATTTTAATGAGCTAATTCCAAGGAATTATTGGTCTGTTTCCTATCTGGAAACCTCAGTCCTGTGTTGCTCAAGCAGAGGCCATTAATAGTGTCACCAAGAGGCCATTGAAATGCAGACTTCTGGACCCTGGATCTCACTCTGAAGTGTGATCTAGTAACCTGCCTCTTTAGCAGGACCCCAGATGACCTCTAACTAGCTCCCCCTACTGCTCTAGACCAGTGGTTCTCAATTGAGGCCAATTCTGCCCCTAGGCAATGTGCAGAGATATTTGTGGTTGTCACATCTAATGGCATCAAATGGGAAGAGGCCAAAGGTGCTGAAAAGATCCTCCAATGTACAGTCACCCCTCCACAATAGAGAATTATTTAGCCACAAATGTCAGTAGTGCCAAGATTGAGAAACCCTGCTCTAGACAAGAAGCTATGTGTCTAGCATATAGTAAATAAATACAATAAATATGGATAATATTTATATAATATTACAATATAATAAATACAATAAATATGGATAGCCAGTAAACATGGATAATGAATAAATGATTGAAGGTGGGGGTAGGTATGTGTTTGCATTGTGTGTGTATGCAGGGGTAATCATTGGAAGAGACACATGAAAAGACACATTGCTTAAATGCTGTGAGGGAAGAAGTAGACAGCTCTAGCAATGGTCAGTAGCTCCTGTGAAGTCCTCCAAAGATTGAGAACAATTTGAGTTTGGTTCGTTAGGCCATAGAGTGACATAAATGGTGCTTGAGCAGAATAGTGACATGATAAAAGCATTAGGAAGAAGGATAGCTATCTGGATCTTGTACAGGAAGGGATAAAAGGGAGAGTGGCTGGGAGGTATTATCATAGGCCTATAAAAAGTGAGGAGAAGTTGTTGCAAGGAGAGGATTCACTTTAGAGCCAAGGGATTCCTGAAGACTGGTATGATACCACCTTACCCAAACCCCAGAGATTAAGGGATGGCAGGGTCTTCCAGTGATAGCTTAGGAACAGATTGCTGTAGATGGAAGTGGGAGACATGGCATATGTACATTTATTTCTTTGGACCCTTGACCTCTTGCTGGGCTGTGCAGAGGGTACTTCTGAGAAGGTCCATGATGATCAGTCAGAACTCCAGGGATCCAGCTTGACCAGGAGGGGAGAAGGTAGGCGGTTGTGGTAGCTTAGGGCACTTGGGGTTTCTTTTGGAGGATCCATATACTATGTGGATTAGGAGGAAAAGACATGGAACAAAGCCGCAAAGTTTGCCCTTGATGTTCTTGGATTCCTTGTCTGTGTTTGATTGAAGACTTATGAAGTATTTGTAAATACTTACAAAGATTTACTATGTACTGAGCACTAACCTAGATGCTGAGGGTGCAATGTATGCAAGATAGACATAGGCCAGGCCTGGAGAAGCTCATGGGCTGTTGGAAAGATAGAAAGGCACATGCCTCCAAGGGGAAGCTTGCCTGTGGACAGGCAAGGGACTTTAAGGACAAGGAGGAGGGAGCCACAGTGAATCAGTGTGCTTCAGGGTGCATGCAGACATGTGAGAGAGGTCTCAAAGAAATGATCCACAGGCATAGGTGGAGGTGGAAGGAAAGAAGGAGTGAAACTCATTTTGAGCAAGGATTGAGGCTTGCCAGAGGAGCTAAGTATTCTGCCTCGTAGATTGTTATACCTGTAGTGTTGGGGTGGGTGAGGCAGATAGAGCCAGAATGTGGGCGAAGGTGCAGGTCAGGACAGAGACTCCCAAGCCTCTTTCCAGATGTGCTGGGACACTGTGGAGTTATCCAGCAGCTCTTTGGAATGAGCTCAGGGGCTCAGATGGGAAAGAGCCAGGCTAGCTATGTGGACATTGGGGTACCACCCATGAAAGTCAGTGCTTTGAGAATTTTTATGATTTTAATGCAGAGTAAGAATTATATTTGGGTAACTCCACCAAAAGACTTCTAGATTTAATAACCAAATTCAGTAGCGTAGCTGGATACAAAGCCAACACTCAAAAATCAATAGCATTCTTGTACACAACAAACTCACTGAGAGATAAATTAGGGAAACCACACCTTTCACAATAGCATCAAAAAAATGAAATACTTAGGTATCAGTCTAATGAAGGAAGGGGCAAAGGGGAAGGGGAAGCAGGAGGGGTAGGGGAAAGGAAAGAAGGGAATGG